TTTGAAGATCTATTAATAATTTTTTCCATCTTTTAAATCTTGAATTGATATTTTCTTTGTAGGGTAAATTGAAAAAATGTAACATGCATTTTTTTTTTTTTTTGAAAAGCATACAAATCAAAATGAATTTCTCTTACCCAATAGGTGAGCATCACTAATAGCTAACAAGAACTTTGTTCTCCTTTTAATACCAGTAGAAGGATTTAATTTTGGATTATAAAAATCTCGAGTTTGCAAAAATTTAAAAATTTCTTGATTTAAAAATTTTGACAATTGTCATGCAGTTAACTGTCAAAATAAAAGGTTAGCATCAATTAATACTACTGGTCTACAAATTTTGGTCAAATTAAAATATGAAATTATGTATTTAGCAATTTAGAATAGGGATGGGAATTTTTTTACTTTTTTTAAAAAATATTTCTCAAACAAATTAGCACTTTTTATAAGTTAAGAAAAACCACATTTTTTTCTTTCTCTTTTTGGTTAAAATAAGTTGACTAGCTTGATTCCTAAGAATATATTCCAACTACTAAATTAATGAAAGTTGGACTATATATTGTTTTTCTAATGCAGAGATAATGTTTGCCTAGGATGGTAGCCCCTTAATTAAGCTTTAAATATACTTTCTTTTTCAAAGACATACTCATTCAAGCTCTCAGGAGATTCCCTCCCAACAATTGATTTTGATTCATATTCAAAGTATTCCCTAGTTAGGACACATAAAGCAGCTAGTAGTTTACCAAACCGAGTCAGAAAATTTTTACTCTGTATTTGGTAAAATAAATAAGATTACTCGCTACTCCAGCTGGGGCCTAGTTGACAAAGGATTTGACAAGATTACTTCTTAATTTGTTCACAAGGGTTTAGCTTCTTTATGAGTTCAATGAGAAAATAGTTTTTTTTTTAGTAATATTTTAATTTGAAGATATTACTTATCAAGCTTTTTATTAATATTTTAATTTAAAGATAGTACGTATTAATTTTAATTTTTTTAAAAATTAAAATTTTAGTCATAAACGAAATTGTTTCATTTAATTAAAATTTAATTTAAAATTTAAAAATCTATTTTATTAAATGTTAATTTTTATATTTAAAAACTAAAAACTCAATTCAAATTTTAGAAATCAACATTACAATCTCAACTTCTCAAAAAAACTTGAAATTCTAATTCAAAATTCAAAAATTTTATGCTGATATCTAAATTTAGAAATTGATTATATATTAATATAATTAATTTTCAAATATAAACATCAACACTTAATAAGATAGATTTTTGAAATTTGAATTGAGTTTTAATTTAAAAGAGACGATCTCATTTAAAGTTTGTATTCTAATTTTTTAAGAGTTATGACTAATATACACTATTCTTAAATGTTAATATATAGGTTTAGAAACTTATTATATTAAAATATAGAATTAGTTTTTAAATTTTGATATCAATATTTAATAAAATAAATTTTTAAATTTTAAATTATATTTTAATTAAATTAAACAATGTCCTTTCACATGACAACTCCATTTTTTTAAAAATCAAAATTGATATCTATTTTTTTTCTCTTAATTTTAATATAGATTTACTTTCAATTAGACCAAAAATGTAGATTTAATATAATAAACAATAATTAGTTTATTTAACATGTGTCTTTAACTGCATTAATTACATTCTTTTGGCATTAATTTATATAAGAAAACACATAAACAAAATTTATTTTCAAAACTAATGATACACAAATCATTTTAATTGAGTGATTGATAAAATTAAAATTAACTTTTATTTTTTATAATAATTAGTGAAAAATATGAGTCATAAAGGTATAGGCAAAAAAACCATAAAAAATTTACTCCTATTGTAAAATAATTTTTGTTCTTTTACTAACTTTAGATGGAGGAGTAATAGTATATGTCTTTAATTTGGTAACAAATTCCTTATCCACAAAAGTTGGCTAAACTAATAAATTTTGTACCTAACATTATTAAAATCTGGTCATCCTTTCGATATGTAATGGCTAAAGTATATATTTAGTCCCTTACTTTATTGAATTTAAAGATTTTAGCTCTTCATTTTATATTATGAAATTTTTAATCCCTAAACTTAAAAGTTTGAAGATTTTAGTCCCAAAACTAATGGAATCTATTAACTCTCCGTTAAGATAAAAATAAAATATTTATATAATCAATCTTTAAAGATTAAAAATATAATAATTTAATTCTAAGAAATTAAAAATTACAAAAATTAATAAATTAAAAATAATTTGTAGATGATTTTGTCACATATACAAGAATAATATTAGGTATTTACAATCAAATTGAGTAATTAGTTCAATCTAAAGAGAAAAATCTCATTGAAATTAGAAATTTTTTTTGACTATTTTCTCCTAGTCTATTAGACTTTCTATTTTAATTCAATTAATAAATTTTTTTAATCTTAAACAAAATTCTTTCTTCAAATTGTGCTAATCGATTAATTCAATTATAGATATTTAATTCTGTTCTACTGCATATGAGAAAGTCGTCCATTAATTTTTTTAATTTTTAAGCTTTTGAAAGTAAATTGTTATATTTGTAATATTTGAGAATTGGTCCTATAAATATTTTATTCTTACTTTAATAGAGAGTTAATGGATTATGTTAGTTTAGAGACTAAAATCTTCAAACTTTTAAGTTTAGGGGTTAAAAACTTCATAGTTTAAAGTAAAGGTTTCAAAATTTCAAATTTAATAAAATAAGGGACTAAATATATTCCTTACCTTCAATAATCCCTCTTAAATGGGCATTGGACTGGGTTGATTAAGCTCCCCACACTCAAAGCTTTTGTATTTACCAAATACTATTAATTACAGGTTTTTCAGTCAAGTAAGAAAACTTTCATCTTCACTCTTCAGCCTAACAGGAGGTGATATGTTCAGGCCATTTTCATCAATGTTTGAGTAGGTTGGCTACCATTGCCTGACTCTATGACTATAATGCTATGGCAATATTAACTACCCAAAAAATCAATTTTATCAAATAAATCAAATATATAAATGAGCATCATTCTTTATCAATATATACTACAAATACGGTAATTAATCAATGTACAAAAATTTTGCTAAAAAAATTGTTTTGCAAAATAATAACAATATATTAATGGCTTTCAAAATGATGCTTGTATGACAATTCTTTCAATTAAAAAAGTGATGATATAAGGATAATTTTTTAATCATTTTTTCATATAATTTTTATATATCATTAAATGAGTGAATGTACTTAATATTATTAACTTCTAATGAATAAAAAGAATTAATTATTTAAATAACACATAAAATTATACTAAAAACAAAAGGATTATTCTTAAATCATTTTTCATTAGAAAATTCCTTGAAAGTGTTGATCATCAGAGAATTGAATAATATTCCAACATTCCTTTTCAAATCTAATAAATTCCACACCATGTTGTTGGATGTTCCAAACAAAATTCTGTTAACATAAGAAAGGACACTTCCAATTTGATAAATATTAGTAACGTGGAAGAATTGTTCTTTGATCTTAGATTAACAAAATGATAAACATTATTACATCAAGAATCTGATTTTTTAATCATGAATGGCATTGTAAAAGATGACAATCATCTCTCTTTCCTTTACCTGCTTCACTTTAATACTAAATTCTCTTATGAAAACTGATTTAGAGTCCTAAATAATTTCTAGTACACTAATCTTAAAGCTGAAAATGTCATAAAATAATAATATCCACATGAAAATAATTACATCAGACCCATGACTCACAGATTGAACCTAACACTATTAGGGACACCAACCCCACCTATCTACTGTTTTGCCAAATCTGATTCAACAATACAACAACTCAGGCTATGCCCACCTGAAAACATTTGGTACTTGATGGAAAAAGAAAAATGAAATTTCAGCAATATGGGTCTTAAAAGCTATGAAGTTTTCCGTGTTTCCAACCCAAAAGCTGCAGAAGAAAGTTCAACCCAATATACAGTCACAAAAGGGCTTCACTTTACCATTATAATTAAGATGATCAAAATGTTTTTCATCATATTTTGGGTTTCAATAATCAAAATAGCACAACGGCATTCACTTCTTGAAAGAAATATGTACAAAAATAGAATGCCCATGGTCCTCTTGATCTGCCACGTGATTGAGATTGATCAAGTACACTATTATTAGAGATTAATCAATATTTTTTAAATCTAAATTTAAGAATTTAGTTAAGTCAATAGAATACCTTAAAACTAAAAATCTTAAATTTGAACTCTGAAAGTGTTGTATATATAGAATATTTTAACTTTTGTGCAGAATTTGCTAGAGATTGATATTATTCTCTGGTCCTCACTTGATATGATAGATGGAAACTTTTAGGTAGATAGAATCTTAAGATTAATTAATTAAGGCTACAAGGAACGATTCTTCTTTTGAAGGGGGTAAAGAGAGAAAGCAAATGAATATAAAAGAGAGAGGGAGAAAGATTGTTTGTTTCTAAAGGTAGGT